GAAAACAAACCATGCAAAGAGCAGTGTTGCCAACTTAGCGCTTTAGTCGCTATATTTAGCCACTTTTCAGACCCCTCTAGCACTTTTTGAAAACCACTTATTTATAAATAATAAAAGTTCAAATTAAATTCTGTATCTGAATAATGGGTCTGTTTTATGGTTCGTCTTTTCAATTCAGAAGGCCCCATGCATGTCTTTGCCTAGGGCCCCAAATTTCCTAAATTCACCCCGTTGGGGGTTCTAATGGGTCGTTAACTCCCTTGTCAGAGTGGTTTCGGTCACATGCCTCATTGAAGTTTTGTGTAGGCAGGTGAGAGGTTATGTCTGGGACCACCTCCTCTCTTGAGAGTTGGTTTTTCCAGGTTAACAAAGATGGCTTCCTTAACCCGTCTCTCAAACCATCTGTCTTTCTTGGCCAGATTATGGACGTTGTTGTCTTCAAAGAAGTGTCCTCTGAAGCTTAGAGAAGCACCACATTGTGGAGATACGACCCAGGGGGTTGTTATTTTGTTCTTAAAGCTCAATTTTTGGTTTTATTTTCTAACACAAGAAGCTTGAGTTTGCATTGAAGAGAAACTTTCTTTGCTGCTCTGGGTTGCTAATCTAAACCCGGAAGAGACAGCTGCATCTCAAACCCACGTAGAGCTGCTGACAATCGCTTCCTCTATAGTCCGTCACACAGAGCCAGAGATGCTAACCAGCTCACTTACAAAAGAACAACACCACTGGGTCAAAAGTGCACTGGTGAAAGCTGTGCACGTTTTCTCACACTAAGACCCAAAGCACACAAACAGATCCAGAATCAGGATGTTCACAGGTTTAATGTTGCCCTCATGAAACCACATTAAAAAGACCAACTTTTTCTGACTTAAAATAAAAACATGTGGAGGAACAGATGGTGAACGTCACTCTGTTTCCTCACATGTTTGAGCAAATGCATCACTTGATCACCTTATTTCACCACCTAGTTTAGTGTTTTGGAAGGTCTGTAGCTGCAGCATCTGGTCAGAAAGCATGAAATGAAAAGATCCCAGAAGCTTTGGCATCCAGCCACAGGCTGACTGCCTCACCGTTTTATGACTGTGGCACGAGTAACGAGGAGCCGTGCCAGGACCGACCCAGGAACACCGAGATAATGCTGCAGTTTCCCCCCAAAAAACATCCTTTATGGCATCTAAGGTCAGGTATAAAACTGGTTTAAAAGGAAGTAAAAAAATGTATTCTCTATCTATAGAACAGGCCCCGCCCATCACCTGGCATCATTCGGCTGTAATGAGCTCAGTCAGACGTGCTCCCGCTCCCACATGCTAAACTAAAGATTTAACAAAGCAAATCTCTGAAAAAAGTAAAGGTTGGAGCTAAAACAACAACCAGCTTAATACTTTTATACATGACTGTCTGGAAAGAAACGGACCAAAAGCTAAAACAGAGAACAACACGTTGCTGGCGCTGTAGAGAGGATTTGGTTTATCTCATCATGGAGGAATGCTGGCGGGTCATGAGTGTTAAAAACCGGCAAGATGAGACACAGCGTGTGGAACTGAGAGCGTCTGTGGTGAGATGTTGCTGCTGCTTAAAGGGCTGCGAACTCGTTAAATGAGGGGAAAATGGAGAATGTAGTCGACTGGATGAGCTCAGGAGTGCGGTGCTGTCGTTTCAGGCGGCATTGATGGAAATGACAGACGAGACAAGCTGGGCTTTGGCGACACCTTCGTTTGAATCTTTATCCTTTGTAGTGAGGAGGAAAACATGATAGTGGACTCAGCAAGCCTGGGGTTAAAGGTCATAGCCACAACGATCAGTTTAGAAAAAATAATGCTTCACCAGAACATCTGAAGTGGTGCAGAATAAAAGTATTATTTTTTTCAAAGAAAATAGGATTTAAATATTTATTTAATGTATATTGACGGGTCCAAAATATATAAATATTTACTTGTGGTTACCATGGCAACACAGAGATGAAATGATGGAGCACCAATGGGAAGCATTAGGGAGTCATGTGACACGGAGCTCAGGTGTCTCCAGATCCTAGTGGCTCCACCATGGAGCTAAGAAACGGTTTCTTCTTCTTCTTCTCTGCGTTAAATT